GGCACTCTACCCAGGGCGATAGCTTGAGGCTCTGTCTCAAAAAAAAAAAAATAAATAAACAACTAAGTGCTAATCAAAATTAAGCCAATCACAAAAAGATAAATACTATATGATTTCCATTTATATGTACCTAGAGTAGTCAAATTTATAGAAACAGAAAGTACAGTGGTGGTTGTGGCCAGGGCGGGAGGAAGAGTGTGGAGTGTTAACACGTTAACACGTTTTTTTAACAGGTACAGAATTTTGGTTTTACAGCACAAAAAGAGTTTTGAAGGCTGGGTGTGGTGGCTCACACCTATAATTCTAGCACTTTGGGAGGCCAAGGCAGGAGGATCATTTGGAACTAGAAGTTTGAGACCAGCCTGGCAACGTAGCGAGAACCCAACTCTACAAAAAAATAGAAAAATTACATCCATGTAATAAAAAAAACACTTAGAGCGGTGCCTGTGGCTCAAGGAGTAGGGCGTCAGCCCCATATACCAGGGGTGGCAGATTCAAACCCAGCCCTGGCCAAAATAAATAATTTTTAAAAAAACACACACTTATACCCCCTAAATCTATTGGAATAAAATGAAGAAAGAAAGGAAGAAAAACTGGGCAGCGCCTGTGGCTCTTAAAGGAGTGGGGCATCAGCCCCATATACCAGAGGTGGCGGGTTCAAACCTGGCCCTGGCCAAAAACTGCAAAAAAAAAGGAAGGAAGAAAACCTAGCTGGGCTTATCTGTCATTCTAGCTACTACTGAGGTCAACGCAGGCAGATCGCTTGAGCTCCCAAAAGTTTAAGATTGCTGTGAGCAATAATGATGCTACTATATTCCAACCTAGGTAGCAGAGTAAGGCCCTGTGTCAAATTAAAAAGGGGAAAAAAAGAGTTCTGGAGATAGACGGTGGTAATAGTTACACAACAGTCTGAATGTACTCAGTATCCCTAAACTGTACAGACTAAAACGGTAAATGTTATTTATTTATTTATTTATTTTTTAAGCAAATTTTGGCCGGGGCTGGGTTTGAACCCACCACCTCTGGCATGTGGGGCCAGCGCCCTACTCGTTTGAGGCACAGGTGCCTCCCCTTGTTTTTTGTTTTTGTTTTTTTTGCAGTTTTTGGCCGGGGCCGGGTTTGAACCTGCCACCTCCCGTATATGGAACCAGTACCCTACTCCTTTGAGCCACAGGCACTGCCCTAAATGTTATATTTTTTTGTTTGTTTGTTTGTTTGTTTGTTTTGAGATAGAGCCTCAAGCTGTCCCCTTGGGTAGAGTGCTGTGGCATCACAGTTCACAGCAATCTCCAACTCCTGGGCTCAAGTGAGTCTCCTGCCTCAGCCTCCCAAGTAGCTGGGACTACAGGCGCCCACCACAATGCTCCGCTATTTTTTTTTTTTTGGTTGCAGCCATCATTGTTGTTTGGCGAGCCCGGGCTGGATTCAAGCCCACCACCTTGGGTGTATGTGGCTGGTGCTTTAGCCACTTGAGCCACAGGCTCCTGGCCAAATGTTATGTTTTATGTGTATCTTACCACAATTAAATTTTTTTAATTAGTAAGGTCAGTTTTCTTGAGGGACTTGTAGAATGGCTCTGAAAACAGTTACAAAAGAAGAGTTACCAAAAACACTTGGAATAAAGGAGATGTGGGCTCGGAGCCTGTGGTTCAACCCGCTAAGGCACCAGACACATACACCTGAGCTGGCAGGTTTGATTCTAGCCTAGACCTGCCTAACAATGACGGCTGCAACCAAAAAATAGCCGGGCCTTGTGGCAGGCGCCTGTAGTCCCAGCTGCTTGGGAGGCCGAGGCAGAATGAATCGCTTGAAAGCCCAGGAGTTGGAGGTTTCTGTGAGCTGTGATGCTACAGCACTCTACCCAGGGTGACAGCCTGAGGCTCTGTCTCAAAAAAAAAAAAAAAGAATAAAGGAGATGTGGTCAGATGACTGTGTAATCTCCCAAGGAGACTATTTTACAGAAAAAAACCTATTGGATAAATAGGGTACATTTGTGTGTCTGTTGCTCTTTTTGTTCATAGATGTCCCTTACATCTTAAACACTTTCCAGAGAATCTTAGCATTGGAGCTAAAATTCTCATAGTGGTCTTAAGAGCAAAACATGGATCCAGGTTTATTTCCTCCAAAAAAGTTAAGGAAATTGCCCAGAATTATTTAACTGCTCAATTTTGGATCTTTTGATTTTGCTGGAGTTTTTGGTTTGTTTTGGTTTTGAAACCAAATCAATCTGTCTCTCTCGCTCTCTCTCTTACCCTGGGTAGAGTGCCATGGTGCCATCATAGCTCATAGAAACCTCAGACTTTTGAGCTCAAGCAATTCTCTTGCCTCAGCCTCCCGAGTGGCTGGGAATACAGGCACCCAGAACAATGCCTGGCTAGTTTTGTTTTGTTTTGTTTTAATTTTTAGTAGAGACATAGTCTCACTCTTGCTTAGGCTGGTCTCGAACTCCTGAGCTCAAGCAATCCTCCTGCGTGAGCCTCCCAGAGTGCTAGAATTACAGGTGTGAGCCACTGCACCCAACCCATTCTGTTGGTTCTTAATTTGTTTAGCGTAACTTTCATCATCTTTGATATCACATCTGAGGCCCAACAATGCTGCCCCTTCATCTAAACACAGGTTTCTCGCTGAATGGATGGTACATGGTTATCCCTCAGAAAATGTCTGGGAATTGGACTTGAAACGTTTTGGAGCCCTTCAGAGCAGCCGTACCTTTCTGCGCCACCGGGTCATGGAAGTTATGCGTAAGTGAAGCTTTAGTTGCAGGTATCTTTGTACTGGCCTGTTTTATCATTAATAGGGTGCAGATTTTTCCTCAGTTTTTTAATATTGCTTCAAGTTGAGCTTCTGATGTTAGACTGTTTCAGTCCTGAGTATGGCGTTTTATGCTCCACATGGTATTTGCAGAACATTTTCTTTGGTATATTTTACCTTCTTTACTTCTGGGATTAAGAAAGTGGAATAGGATTTACAGGTGGTATGTGGCAGCTTCCTGTATATTCCTCATGATGCCTCCTTTCCAGTGTGCCTAGAAGGATACTATGTCAAAGTGAATAAAGTGAGTGCTCTCTCACTTCCGTGTGGTTTTTTGTTTTTTTGTTTTTGTTTTTTTTTTTTTTTAAATAAGCACTCAGGACAGTGCTGTTGGGTCACAGCTCACAGCAACCTCCAACTCCTGGGCTCAAGCGGTTCTCTTGCCTCAGCCTCCCAAGTTACTGGGACTACAGGTGCCTGCCACAACGCCCGACTATTTCTTTGTTGCAGTTTGGCGGGACTGGTTTTGAACCTACCACCCTAGGTGTATGGGGCTGGCACCCTACCCACTGAGTCACGGGTGCTGCCCTCTACTCTGTTTTTGAGGTCATTGTTTTCTTTCCAAGATAGAATGTTTGCAAAGTTATACTTAAACCTTCAGGCTTCTCTGAGTGACTTTCATCATTAATCCATCAAATACTAGCAAAACAGGATTCTCTTTCTCATTCCTAAATACAAAACATGCAGTTGTGTTCTCATTCCCTTTGTTCTTGCTTCCCTCTGACTTTGAAGGATTGGCCTCTTCATTTTAGCTTGTTACTCTACCTTGTCTGATTAATTTTCCAGTAAGTCTTTGGGAATTATACCAAATCATACAGGTCTGGAGAAGTGGTAATTTTGTTTCCTATATGAAGAACTGTTCTCTGACTTTGCTAAGTGAGATCTAAGTATTTGGGGCATATTTATGCTCAAAACTAAGTACTACGTTGGCTGTGACCACTGTTCTTGGTTACGAATGAACTGGTGGTTTAGTAGCTGGACAACATTCATGTTTTTTTTTTTTTTTTTTTTT